CCTAGGCAGGGGGTTGGACTAGAAGACCTCCAAGGTCCCTTCCAACTCTGCTATTGTATTAAAACATTCACAGCAGATATAATTGCACGGATTACAGTAATGAACTCCACAAAGGGCTATCCTTGAAGACTACTCCAGAGAAACGGTTGCTCCAAAATGCAGTGCTGCAGGTGATGTTGGGCATGTTCTGTTATGCCTGTGTGACCCCCATTGCTCTGCAGTCAGCATGGATAATCAGTTGGCTTATTACAATTCAAAGTGCCAGGTATTACCTCAAAGCCATTCATGGTATAAAGGCCTAATTATCTGAGGGACTACCTGTCTTCAATTGTTTCTGCCTCATTGGCATAATTGGGCAGAATGGGCACACTGTGGGTCCAATTGATTGTGGCATCTTATAAGACCCAGGAAACACGCCTCTCCTCTCCTCTACAATCTTCTCACCCAGTTAACATAGTAAAAGCCTGTCTGAATTTGAGCAAGTTTCCTTCTTTATTTTTGAAAATATACTTCTTTTATTTGTATTTTTTTGCTTTATGCATTTTTCAGCCTATTTCTTGTACTTTTACCTGATTGAATTCGTTTATATCTTCCCACTGTTGAAGAAGAATCTCTACCACATCACTGTGGCCATTTTTAGCTGCTAGATGCAATGCAGTGTTTCCTTCCTACAAAAATGTACAGAGACATCTAAGAATGTAGGCTTGAATTGTCACTAAAAACAAGTATTCTTGAACCAAGAATAATAAGCATAATGCTAGATCTTTAATAAAAGAATGCATACACCTGGTACATTGGTATTTTGATAAGTATGCAATCTGCCATTTTAAATAAAATTTCAAATAAAATTGGTTTTTTAAATATTTATAATTTAAGACACTGTTCAATATGTTTGCAAAGTATCATTTTATTATTTGGCTAATTAAATTCTTGAGGGGAGAGGTAAAAATCAGTAGGGAATAAATTGTCTTGTGGGACACAAAGCCACCCTCACTTTTTATGTGATTCCTTCTCTCAGAGCCATTCAGGATTGACTTATCTATTCAGTGCAAACTGACATATAACACCAATATGACTTTCTACTGATTTTTTCAAAGACAATGCAATCAGACTTCTGATAGACATAATACAAATTGACATTGAAAAACATTGTGGATTCTGTGGCCCAGTTCCAAATGGCTCACAGCCCAGTAGTAGGCCACGGCCCAGGGGTTAGGGACCACTGCTCTAGCATCAGTGTCCATTTGATACTCAATAAATAGAAAATATGGTTTCACCTGG